AGAACCGTGTTCACTTCCTGGACTCCGCCGAGAAGAGACCATCACAGCTACGCATGCGGTTGATGCATTTTAATTAGGTTAAGATTCAAGTTCTCTACAACCGGACATTAACAAATTCCCATCTACCCATAACCGCGGGCACGGCTTTCAAAATTTCAAAACCCTGCAGGGGTGTCCTAACTTAGCCCATCACAAGCTCTCACGGTCAATGAAAGATATTCCTTCTCCCAGGAAGACCCGATCAGACTCAGAATCCTGGTTACAAGACATTTCGACAATGGTAAAACAAGACCAGCAAAGCCGCCCGATGCGCCGACATCCTGATAGGAGTTGCACATATATCGTTTTCAGGGCAACACCAGATGAGACATCCTACGAGTAAAACCAACCCTCAAGTTTCCCCGAGGTGGCCCCGCAGTCTACTCAGTTCGGACCAACACTTAGAGAAGCACTGGCCCTGGGGAGGGTTAAAATAAAGATGACCCTTGAGTCTGCAGAACCCAAAGGAAGGTGATAGGTTGTTGGTGCAAATGTAAAACCAAGGTTGGGCCTTGTTGGAGGAGTTTTATTCAAGGCAAACTGTCAAGGGGTTCCCATAACACCCAACCGCGTTAAGGAACGCAAAATCAAGGAACATAACACCGGCATGACGGATACTAGGGCGGCAAGAGTGGAACAAAACACCAGGCATAAGGCCGAGCCTTCCACCCTTTACCAAGTGTATAGATGCATTAATTAAAATAAGATATATTGTGATATCCCAACAAAATCCATGTTCCAACATGGAACGAACTTCATCTTCACCTGCAACTAACAACGCTATAAGAGGGGTTGAGCAAAGCGGTAACATAGCCAAACAACGGTTTGCTAGGAAAGGTGGGTTAGAGGCTTGACATGGCAATATGGGAGGCATGATATATCAAGTGATAGGTATCGCAGCATAGGCATAGCAATAGAGCGAGCAACTAGCAAGCAAAGATAGAAGTGATTTCGAGGGTATGGTCATCTTGCCTACAAAGTTCTCCGAGAAGATGAAAGCTTGATCCTCATAAGCGTACTCAACGGGTTCCTCGATCATAAACTCGTCTCCCGGCTCTACCCAAAGCAAGAACACAAGCAAAGGAAAACAACAATCAACCATGGTGCAATGCGCAAGCAACATGATGCAAAACATGGCATGATATGCGGGATGTGAAATGCAATGCATATGCATGCTCCGGAAGGAAAAGATTGAAACAGACCTCAACTTGGCAAACCAAGTGTGCCGCTGGTAAGATGAGTTGATTTCGGTCGAAATCGATATAAAGATCGCTGGAAACGGATGCACAGTTTGCAAATGGCAAACAAACAATAATGGCACAAATCTGCGATTAACGGCACGATGCCATCTAAAATGCAACAAAAAACTAAGCTACTGCACTCTAACATAACAACAAAGCACATGGCAGTGATCTACTCAAGATGCTTGACAAAAGATGAACATTGAGCCACGGCTAAATCACACAATAGCATGTTCAAACAAGCATGGCAAAAGGGCAAAAGATATCAGCATCACAGACAGTGAAAATAACATGTCAGGAATTAACATCAGGAAGCAATGTTTAGAGCAAGATAACAACATGCTACAGGAACATATCATGGAAAAACAAGGCATGGTATGAATCTACTCAAAGCATATAACAAAAGTCCCTTACTGACCATAAGCCAAAAAGGATCAGAAGATATGATGGCACCCATGTAAACATAGCAACTTTCATTAACAGATTCAGACTTAGCAGAAAACTGGACATGGCATAAACAGAGTTACGTAGGCATGTTGCGAGCTCGATGCACTCACCACAAGGCATTGCATGGCAAACTAAACATACACCCAGCAAGAAAACATGATCAAGAAGCTAAACATGGCAATAAAATTCTCATATCATGCATGGATCAACTGCAACAACCTTGGCAAAATTGATTAACACGTAAACAATCTGCCAGGAACATTTTATAGCAAAAGTAGAGCAAGATTGAGTCATGCTAGGGCACTCCACAAATGCAAACAAGGGCATGGATGGATAGAGCATAACAATATCTCAAAATCATCCTTACTGAACATACTCAAAAGAAGCATGGATTACTCTGTAGCAACATGAATACATGGCATAAAAATAACAACAGACAAAGACTTAGTGAAATTCTAAGTCTCTGAAATCAGCAATATTATGAGAGCTACTTTGCATGCTTGTGCTAGTCACCACATTGATCACAAAAATACATGGCATACACCCCTGTAAAAATGGCATGGCATATAACAAAACACATGTAGAGCTCATGCTCATATGCAGCACACAATAATCATGGAAAAAATGACAAATGCTCATAAACAGATAAGAATCAGCACCTAACATTATATAGCACTTTTGCAACAGCTATTAGGGCATCAAGATGGACTCAAACAAGCATGGTTCAATGGAACAAAATAAAGAGCACATCCAGATGAACATTTTGATATGCCACACGCACGAAACGGAGCTACGGATGCAGAGTTATGACATGATGAACAGAGGCTTAAAATAATAAGATCTCCGGGGACTTGGTCAAATTCACCTCGAGGAAAATTGTACGGAGGTGTACATGGACGAAGGCGTACGGGACGGGGCGTGGGCGTTTGGTTCACGGAACGGGTGGATCTCATCCCACCCGTCCGGATCCGAGGCGGGCTAAGTCCGGCGGCTTGGCGTAGCTCCGGCGAGGCGAGGAGCGGGGCGGCGCCGGCAGGCGAAGGCGGCGATGGCGATTGGCGGCGAACGGCAACGGTGTGCATGAGTCACGGCGCGCCGGCAAGCGAGCAGCGGAGGAGCGGGGTGGCGGGCGGCGAGGCTCACAGAGGAACGGGGCGGCGCGAGCACCTCGGGGTGGCGGCGGAGCAAGTCGGCCGGTGGCGACGGATCTGGCAGCGGGGTGCGGGCGGCGCGCGGTGGAGTAGGAGGCGGCGCGTGGTGGAGGAGCGTGGGCGGCGGCGGCGGGCGGCTGCGCTGGCGATGGTGGTGGAGTCTGGCGAGCGGCGGGACCGGTCGGCGTTGGGCGAGACGGCGGGACGGAGCGGGCCGGGCGGCGGTGAGATCCGGGCTCGCGCGGGCCCCTGATGGGCTCTGTGGGCCACGACGGCGGTGGGACAGCGGCGTGCCATGTGGCGATCTCCGGTTGGACGCGGACGGCGGCGCGGACATGTCCGGGCGCGGGAGGATTTGTCCGGCGACGCGAAGAGGGAGTTTGCTAGGGTTCATCCGCGAATTTTCGGAGGAGACACAAATATATAGGTAGAGGGAGCTAGGAGAGTCCAAATGAGGTGCGGTTTTCGGCCACGCGATCGTGATCGAACGACCGAGAGTATGGATGGGGTTTGGATGGGTTTTGGGCCACTTTGGAGGGGTGTTGGGCTGCAACACACATGAGGCCTTCACGGTTACCCGGTTAACCGTTGGAGTATCAAACGAACTCCAAATGGCACGAAACTTGACAGGCGGTCTACCGGTGGTAAACCAAGGCCGCTTGGCAAATATAGGTACATTCCGAGAAAGTTTAACACCCGCTCACGAAAAGAGGCAAAAGGGGGCGCCGGAGGACATAGGAGTGCCGGAATGCAAAACGGACAACGGGGAAAATGCTCGGATGCATGAGACGAACATGTATGCAAATGTGATGCACATGATGACATGATATGAAATTCATAATACACAAACAAATGACATGGCAACGACAGCGAATAACTGGAAGACACCTGGCGCAACGGTCTCGGAGCGTTACATTTCTTCCCGTATTGTTGATGAATATACTTGGGGATTCGTGATTCTTGTGTCCCTTGACTCGGTGCGAGATTCATTGGGATTTGGGCCGAAGAAGATGGGGGTGCGATTTGGGGGGATCATGCCTCGGATTCTTGGGGTCGCCGGGGATGCGGTGATTGAAGGAGAAGACGTTGGAGGGAGAGAGGGAGGGAGGAGGAGGGGGAGGCTTCAGATTTCAAAAAGAGACTTCGCTCGTTCGATACTACCAATTCCTTTGGTGCTGATTTTGAGTTGTTAAGAACCCTTGATTGATGCAAATCTTAATTTTGTTTTATGTGGAGCATCAGTGTTGGGGATATCTTGTTAAACATCCAGTTCCCCTGACATGCATGAACTGTTCAGTATAGGATGCCCATCTTATGCAGCTATGTTTCCTCTGTTTACATTGTTTTCTATCATGTGTTATGTTTGCAACATTTCCCTATGCTCTGATTGATAATATGTATTTTGATGTTTTTGCCTAATTTGTGTGTGCCTTTGTTTTGTAGGAACTTGTCAAATCTTAGTCTGAAGGGAATGTTATCTCCTGAGATTGGACAACTTACTAATATGCATTTTCTGTAAGCATATTCTATAGTTCCTTTGGTGACGTTTTTTCTGAACACTTTGGTTTTGACAAAACATGTTTCACGCTTTCAACCACAAGATAGTATTTGGTATTTCTGAAACTACCAACTGAATAAGAGTCATTTTGCACTTCGATATAGGCTATCATGCTGAGCACAGTAGTAAAGTTGAAACTTTGTAGTGTGTATGTTTTCCTGATGAGGCTTATGACCTCAGCTTTTGAGCTGTCAATTAAGGTACATCAGTTAACTTGGTGTATGTTCTTTCTTGGAGTGTAGTTGGATAAAAGAGAGGTGTTTCTTCTTGGATCTACGGGACTTTTGAGAATACAATTTTGCATGGATCAAATTCAAGTACATGATTATTTGATGGCAAACCAGTGCTTTATGTAGTTTTCCTATTATTAGTACCATAGTAAATCTATCTGTTGAATTATGTATGCCCATTCAGGCACTCACCAAGAAAGCATCTTAATATTATTTTTTGTATCTTATGTACTTGTGAAATGATGTTCGCCCTTCAAACTTTTCTGATCTATTTTTCTTCCATCCATACAGTGTACTGCATAGGAACTTGTTCTATGGTATTGTCCCTAGAGAGATGGGAAATTTACGAGAGCTGAAGGTGTTGGGTCTGGGGTACAATAACTTCAATGGATTAATTCCATCAGAGCTAATAAACATTTTATCCCTGGAATTTATGTGTGTGCGAACTTTGATATATGTTTTTTTTTCATTTTTGTTGAACTTCAAAACTTGACTGGCCTTACTATTTGAATTGCATCTTTCTTAAAAGAAACATACTTTATGGGGATTTACCTCTTGAACTAAATGAGCTCATCAGTCTGTGTGAGTCTCAGGTTCGCCACGGCAGGACTTTCTCAAATAGGATGCCCGCTGCAAGGTTTGTCTAAGTTTTCTTCTACTTGCATATCTGAGAGTTAAACTCGTGATTATGCAAGGCTAGAGTTAAATTTTCAAATCAAACAGGGATTTGAGCAAGCTTGATTTTGGTTAAAAAATCCCACCCTGTTCCTGCAATCACATGTATGTTAATGATATCTGAAATATTTTAGAATTATCTGTTTCGACTCAAGAAATGTCAGACTTCTTTTAGGAACATTTCCTCCACAAAATGGTAAATTATATCCGAGTCGGCATCCCTGAAACCTAGCCCAAATCCCCACATATAACCTCACTCCGGACGAACCCTAGACCCAAATCTCTAGACAATGCCATGTTGAAAGATAGGCTTGCGAAGATTCGGCTCAAGAATTCCTGAGGGTACTTCTGTCTTTATTATATTTGTTCTCACACCTTGGGCGTTGTGTTTTCCCGCCGCAACGCACGCGTCGACCCACAGTCCTCATATTAAGTGAACCAGAAGCGGTACATGCCAGAGAAAAGAAAAACAAACCCAACCACCAGCACGACCCTTCCTCTCGATCCCATCTGGACCTTTAGTATTCTCGGGATATACCTGATTATGATGATGTTCCGTACTGCTCTGGAGCCAACAACTTTTTTGGTTGTTGGCTGGAGGCTGGAGCTATCACTATGACTGAAATTTTCTTTTCACCAAAGTAAATTTATATGGTCATCAAAAACCAACGACAGGTCAACACTTGTCGGCAGTTTGCAATTTGTATTACAGTATGCGTAAGCCAATGGTCAGACATTGTTGTTTTAGTTAGGAAATGTAGAAACATGTTCATGATTTATGTAGATTGGACAGTCCCTTCAAACTGCAGTATTCAATCTTGAGCGGACAATCTAACTATATGTTTCCTTATAGAAAATTGACTATATGTTCCATGAATTGACTGATTAGTTTGGCCCGATCAGATTAAACTAGGTCTTGATTTGAAGGTCCAGTTAGGGCAGATGGTGCTGGTTTGTTTGTTGTAATACTAACTATGCTATTTAGACAGAGACATGTGGTCTTTCTCATTCCTCGACATTTTCCTTTGCTACCAAGATTTTTCATTCTAGGTTGTGGAAAAACGGATGTAGCATTCCTTCTACAAGTTGTCATGAGCTGGGACATAGAAGAAGAGAGCCGACAAGAAGTTGCACATCGGTTCGCTCTGGTGTCGCTGCCAATGGCGTTGCGCAAAGTGCAGATTGCAGGCTAGATGCGTACGAGTCCGTCCCTACGTCCACGATGTCGAAGCATAGGAAATCAAGTCAATTAGATAGTATATCTGGTTATGAAAGTTGTCTTTTGTGTACGCAGTTTTGCCATTATTTTGTAAAAGCTTTGAGTTTTTGATAGTGCAATTTTCTTACTAATAACACTTTTAATCAATTCGTGCCAAGGCTACTAGCCAAGTTATGCACAAATTGTTCATGTTTCCTTGATGACTGCTATTGTCAGAAGATTTTTTTCAGCATTTAAGTAATACCGATCCCACTTTCGGTTATGTATGCAAAGGCCAGTAGAAAGGTAATGACTACTCCTTGCTGGTCGGATATTTCCTATTTCCAGGCTTTATCTCATTCTGCTTTTCGCACCATGCTGATTTGTGAATGAGAACCTACATGATCATCCACCCTGATTTGTAATTCGTAGTCACATCCAGACACTCAGGTATGCAATATGGTTTTGCTCTTTTTGGTGATTGTCAGCATTCCCCACTGTTTCTTACAATCAGAGAAAAACAAAAGGAGATTTCACTCTACAATGGATGTCTTTCTCCCAGGCATATGTAATTCCGCTGCTCTGATTGCCATCTATCTTTGATGGCGACGATGCTCTACCTCAACGCAGTCCAAGTCTACGTCCACCAGGTACAGTGCCATGAGGAAACACCCAAGGTAAATGTGTGTGCGCGCTAATATAGATTAACTACAGATATGTACATCGATCCCATGAGTGATCACCGTGTAAATCAGCAGCAGCCAGCAGTACACGAATTCGCTTATAAATACTGAAAAAATATCCTACTATTGTTCTAAAAATATTAGAATTACTTGACTTTGAAAACAATATTCTAGTTGAATTTAAGGTGACCAACATATACTAAATGCTTTAGTTTAATCTTTCAAAGTGGAAGTTTAAAATATTTATTTTAGATTTTATATGGTGGAGAAATTATTTGATTATAAATTATTATGGATTTTTAAATAACTTTAACATTAATTTTAAATCCATATTGATAAAAGGCACTCAAAATAAAAAATAAATGCAACATAATTTAGATTATAATTATGTATTGTTTGGAATAACCATTAGGAGCTGCCCAAACTAGCAGAGGAGGTTTGAGAAAGAGCTCGCGGGGTTAATACGCCGACGTGGTCGACCGACGGACGACGTGGACGCTCCGACAAGGTCGAGAGAGCAGCTAAGCTTAGCCGTGCGGAACATTTCGAAGGCCATGGACGGCAAAGGCAATAATAAGTGGCAATACAAATGGACGTGTGTTGAAATAGAGGGTATGGATTTGTGTAGGTCTTGAGTCATGCTTACTGTAGGAAGGAACATCTGATATTTCTTTTTCACACTGAAAGGATCGATATGGTTGACTAGAGGGGGGTGAATAGGCAACTAACAATTTTTAGCTTTTCTTTAACAATTTAAACTTTGCATCAAAGTAGGTTGTTTAGATATGCAACTAGGTGAGCAACCTATATGATGCAACAAAGATAGGGACACAAGCAAGTAAGAGATATAACACAAATAAGCTTGCACAAGTAAAGGCACGAGATAACTAAGAGAGGAGCCGGTGGAGACGAGGATGTGTTACCGAAGTTCCTTCCTTTGAGGGGAAATACGTCTCCGTTAGAGCGGTGTGGAGGCACAATGCTCCCCAAGAAGCCACTAGGGCCACCGTATTCTCCTCACGCCCTCACACAATGCGAGATTCCGTGATTCCACTATTGGTGCCCTTGGAGGCGGCGACCAAACCTTTACAAACAAGGTTGGGGCAATCTCTACAACTCAATCGGAGGCTCCCAACAACACCACGAAGCTTCACCACAATGGACTATGGCACCGCGGTGACCTCAACCGTCTAGGGTGCTCAAACACCCAAGAGTAACAAGATCCGCAAGGGATTAGTGGGGGAATCAAATTTCTCTTGGTGGAAGTGTAGATCAGGGCCTTCTCAACCACTCTCGAGCAAATCAACAAGTTTGATTGGCTAGGGAGTGAGATTGGGTGAAAATGGAGCTTAGAGCAACAATGGAGCTTAGGGTTGGAAGAGGTAAACAAGTTGAGGAAGAAGACACCCCTTTTAGAGCTTAGGACAAAAATCCAACCGTTATCCACCTACCAGCCCGCGACCAGCGGTACTACCACCCCAGACCAGCGGTACTACCGCAGGTCCACGCGGTACTTCCGCTTGCTGACAAGCGGTACTACCACAAGGCCACGTGGTACTACCGTGCAGGCCCGCGGTACTACCGCAGCACCAGCAGCAGCTAGGGCAGACCTGTAGCACAAGATCTAAGGGCGGTACTGCCATGGGAGCGATACTACCGCTCTCCCTTGCGGTACTACCGCAAGGCAGGAAACCCCTAGCCTGGGAAGAGCACGGATAAAGATATATCCGTGCCTATTTCCGCTGGTAAACGGAAGAAGCAAAAACCCGACACAGTACTACCACAGAGGAGCAGTACTACCGCCTGGCAACTGATCCAGGCCGCGCATGGTACTACCGCGCAAGGCATGCGGTATTACCGCAGTGGCGCAGATGTAAAAAATTGCATCCGCCCCTACTACCGCGAAGGAGCGGTACTTGGCCTGGGGGCCACGGTACTGCGGCTCCAGAGGAGCGGTACTACCGTGGGCACCTGCGGTACTACCGCGCCAAAGTGCGGTACTACCGCGGGTGCGTGCGGTACTACCGCTCAACAAGGAGCAGTACTACCGCAAGCCCATCAACAACAGTCAGGACAAGGGAAAAGAGGATCAACAAAGGATGCTCCAAAGTGCAGGGGAAAGGAGGGGACAAGGAAGAAAACGTGTATGTGATGATTCCACCCAAACCTTTCCGACGCGGACCCCCTCTTAATAGTACGGCTTTCCTATGACTCAAATCCACCAAAAAGAAATGTAGAAAAGACGCCGTCTTCAACAGTCTTCGAGGGGCACCAAACTGTCTTGTGCCTAGCGATGAAACATCTGGGATACTCAAGGCGCACGATTAGTCCGCAAACGCATTATCATCAATCACCAAAACACCTTAGGGATAAATATGCCCTTACAATCTCCCCCTTTTTGGTGGAATGATGACAATACGGGATTTGCACAAGGGAAATAATATTAAGCAAACGCAAACCCCTCCTCTCTAGAATATAGACGGGCCCCCCCTAGATGTGTGCCAACTAGATGGGTGCTTTGGACTGCATGGCACACATACTAGGATCAAAGCTCCCCCTATATTATAGAGACAAGGCATATCTTGCAATAGTAAGGCTAACACTAGACAAGATAGCACAAACATAAGTTAACTAAGATAGAATAGAGTGCATATGTCTTACACCATATGAAGGATAAATCTCAAAGGCACAAACCAAACAAAGGCAAACGAGGTCCAAATGACAAAGCAAACACACCAAACACGACACACGACTCGCAAACACGCAAATCCCTACACTCTCTTCCCCTTTGGCATCGAGACACCAAAAAGGCAGAGAGGACACCTACACACAAGGGGGTGGCTCAGGCAGAGAAATCATCCCAATGCTCCTCGTGCTCCTCGTCAGACTCGGCGGTGGGGACGGTCTCCTCGATGTCCTCCTCAGAACTAGTCCACTTGAAACCTTGCTTCGCCATCCATGCAGCCTCTGGCGTGATGGCATCCTCAGAACCGCCAGATACATCATCTCCAAAGAGCCTCATGACCTTCTTGTCGCGGCGGCGACTCTCCTTGGATGCCACGTGAGTCCTGTACTGCCCCTTCGCCTGCATGCAGAAGAGAGTCTTCATCTTGTCCTTCAACTTCTTGGCCCATGACAGCTCAAAGGAAGGTGGGGAAGACCTAGCAGCACGGTCCTCATCAACATCCTCTGCACCAGCCTTCTCCTCACCAACAGCCCTCCTAGCAGCAGACGCCTCAGCACAAGTAGTAGTGTTGGCCCAGTTGGGCTTGACGCGGAGACTGATGGACTCATGCCGAATCCAGTCTGGAGCAAGGAACTCATCACCAGGGTACATCTTCTCCCAAGTCGTGGAGATCAACAGAAACAGGTATGGTCCATAGATAGGTACCTTGCGGGTGAACACCGCAAACCGAAGCTCACACCACATGATGTGTGAGACATCAAGTGGCTGAGTCTGAGACGAACGTGCCTCCGCGCATAGGAGCATCATGTCCACTAGATAGGAATGAACCTTGTCCTTGTCGCCAATGCGAGGGAACAGAGTGTTGCGGAAGATGCGATGCATCATATCCAGAAAAGAGTTCAGCACCCAAGTTGACTTGCCACTGGGAAGCACCTTCTCAATATAGTACGGCTGAAGCAAGTTCTTGTTAGTAGACTCAGAGTTGGCGTGGGGGCGAACACCAACGGGTGTGTGAAGCCCGTCATCAGGAACGTGGAGAAGACCCATGAACTCCTTCCAGGTAGCAGACAACTGAGGGCCATTGGTCATCCAAGTCATCCTCCGCTCAACCCCGGGGTGAAACTAAACTGAGGCAAAGAACTGACAGATAAGCTCAGGGTCATAGTCAAGGTGGAAGGAGATCACAGGCTCAATAGCGAACTGCTCCACCAAATCTAGAGCTTCTCCAAAATACTCCCGAAACTTGTCCTTCCTCATGTGATTCATGTCTATCCACTTGACATCCATGAAGGTATTCTGCTTATTCTTGATCACATCCAGATAAATGAGAGCCTGCTGCTTGGTCCAAAACAACTCAGTGCCTCTGAGGATAGCATGAGCATTCACATAAGGGTTGATCTTCCGGCGTTCGACGTACTCATTGAGGGGAATCTCGTCCATGCCCTTAGCAGGTTCCTTTTGCTTGCTGGCAGTGGTCTTGACATTGCGCTTGGGGGCACTGGAGCCCTCTGGTGCTTCATCTTGAGGATTGCGCAGACACTTGGAGCCAGTGTCACGACTGGGATTGGAACGGCGAGAGCCACCACCTAAGACACAAGAGAAAGCACACACAAAGAGTGAGAAGAATCAATGCAAAGACCACGGCAAAGCAAGGGAAACAAGTAGAAATCATACGGGATAAATGCCACAAGGAAGAAGGGATAACAACGGTAGTGCCGCCTGGTCATGCGGTACTAAAAAATTAGTACCGCTCCTAGTCGCGG